TTGTCCAAGACCTTCGCCTCATCAACATAGCCATTGTCCCTATCCATCCCTTAGTTCCAAATCCATACAGCCTCAGCATCCCACTTCTCAGTCCTAGATCTCAAAGACCCATTTTTCTATCCCTCTAGACCCCTGCTCCCAAGATTTTTTCATCTTCACCTGGACGGACCCATACACAAGACATTCTAAACAACTCACTTGGTCAGTTTTGCCACAAAGCTTCCGAGATAGTCCCCATATTTTTAGACAGGTCCTAGCTCAGGACCTCAAACAGTTTCATCATGATCACTCCAAGTCCACCTTATAATACATAGACAATCTTCTACTCTGCAGTCTCTCGTGGGAACAGTCTCAACTTGACACTGCCTCCCTACTTAACCTTCTAGCTTCCAGAAGTTACCGAGTATCCCCCGTCAAAGCTCAAATCTCTTCCCCTCCTATCACTTACCTCAGATTCCTTCTATCTCAACAAAGAAAGTCCATTACCTTAGACAGAAAATGGCTCCTCTCTGACCTGCCCATTCCCAAAACCAAGACAGAAATCCTTTCCTTTCTAGGCCCTTTCTAAGCCTAGCTAGATATTTTAGAACGTAGATCCCTAACTTCTCCCTGCACCCTGTTGGCAAGACCCCTATACAACCTCAGCAAGAGCCCCCCTAAAAAACCATTATCCTCCTCACCCCGACACTCCTTCATTAAGCTCCGTCAAGCCCTTGTAGAAGCCCCAGCTCTCCATCTTCCTGATTTGTCGAAGCCCTTCTCATTATACATTCATGAGAGGTCCAGTCAAGCTCTAGGAGTCCTAGGCCAATATTATGGCCCATCCTTTGCCCCAGTAGCTTATCTCTCCAAGCAATTAGACCCCACAGTTCGGGGATGGGCCCCCTGCCTACGAGCATTAGCCGCTGGACAGCTCTTGCAGAAAGAAGCTCATAAACTAACATTCGGAGCGCCACTTACCATTCTGTCCCCACATCACCTAAAAGATCTCTTAACCTACAAAAGTTTACAGACTCTCCCTCCCTCCAGACTCCTGACCTTACTGTCCTCTTTCCTCCAAAATCCCGTTCACCCCCTTTGCCATCCATACCCGAATCATGACTTTTTCCTCCTTTACTGCTCTCTCGCTTTTTTTCCTCATTCCTATTGTCTTCCCCACCACCCCAGCCTCCTTTGTATGGCGATTCAAAGTCAGACAGACTTACACACAGCATCAAACAAAAGTTACTGCCCTCATTGCCACACCAGACTGCCCTCTGAAAAGCTGCTCTGAGCCTTTATACCTCCACTTTCCTCCCTCCACCGAAGTGTTCACTAGCAGCTACCCTTATTCTCCCTACCTCTGCTTCCTCTATGACCAAAAACAAGCCTATTGCAGGCGATGGCCAGACACCTACAGGAGATGTCCCTACTGGTCTTGCACCATTCACTACATGGGTAACTTCCAGTACCCACAGTATTACTCCTCCAACCGTTTCATGAAATATCCCAACGGCTCATTCTCCTTATCAATCCCAGATCCCTGGGACTCTCGATGGGCTGCCAGAGTCACAGCCTCAGTTTACTACGGGGGGTCCTCGACCCCCCACAGTACCCTTCATATCTCTCGAAAGTATGTTCCCTCTCATTCCCAGATCTCTCAAGTTGCATCAGATAGCAGACATTCCGAAAAAGTCATTATCCAAACTCTTGATAGCGCCTCTTCATCTTCTTATCCCCACCCCTCTTCCCATTTCTCCTACTCTTCATTACAGCTCATTCAGGACACCACCATCTTTCTCAACCACACCCTTAACACAGCCAATTGTTTCTTGTGCGCATCACTACAGCGCCCACTGCTGGCCGCCGTGCCCCTTAATATTTCCAACTACTCCTTCCATGCAGAAAGACAACCCCTCTGCCCCCTGGCAGACATACCCCTATGGGAACCAGAATACGCAGATAATCTCACCATCCACCACTGTGTAGGCCCAACTCCACCCCCCTCCAGCGCACTTCACTGCCTCTCTATCTACACCCCTACCTCCGGCTCTAAGACTTTTACGCAACCGGGACACTTCTTTTAGTGTAATGGCAGTCTTTTCAACTCACTGCCTCTCAACTCCGATACACCCTGCATTCTCGTCACCCTAATCCCACAGTTTACACTTTACAGCATGGCAGAATTCCTTGAGCTCCAACCTCCCTTGCCCTCGCGCACAAAAAGAGCTGCTTTCCTTCCCATCATGGTCAGTAGCTCTTTGATCACCTCAGCCATTGGGGCAGGGTTTTCGGGAGAAGCCTTGGGTCACTCTCTATAGGCAGTTAGAGATCTCAACGCCAAACTTGAGGGAGCCCTGACATCCACTGCCGATTCTCTAGCCTCTCTCCAAAGACAGGTCACTTCGCTAGCTAAAGTCACCCTTCAAAACCGGCGGGCCCTAGATCTGCTTACAGCCGAGAAGGGCGGCACCTGCGTCTTCCTCTGGGAAGAGTGCTGCTATTACATCAACGAATCCGGCATTGTAGAAACTGACATTACCAAACTCACCGACCTTGCCTCCAGTCTCCACTCTGCTTCCAATTCCAACCCATTCTCGTCAATACTAACAAACCCCCTCCTCACCTGGCTCTGGCCCATTGCAGGCCCCATAATAATCATTCTTCTCGCCTGTCTCTTCTTACCCTGTATAATAAAGTTCATCAAATCCCAAGTCGGAAAAATCTCTAATCAAGCTTTCAACCAGCTTTTACTCAGGAACTACCAGCTTCTGGCCACAGAAGATCCCTCACCCTCACGTGACCTCCTCACCACACGCTGAGATGGACCCCTCTCTCCACTGGAAACTGTTCCTGGAAACAATAGCCGCAGACGCCTGGCTCCTGACACCCATATCCTCTTGGCCAACCTATGGTTACAGGGAACCTTCATTGATTTCCAAACCTGAAGAAGTCCACATCTACTCGTCCTTACTGCGGGGAGTCCTATCAACCCTTTCCTCCCAATCCTCAAGCCCTCACTCCCTTCTCCGCCCCTGTTCAGCAGGAAGCAGCCAGAGAGAAAGCAACGTCCACAAACCCATAGAGGAGAAAGGGGGGAATGAAGGGTCCCCACCAGTAAGATGGCAAACTTCCGGCTTCTCTTCGGGGTCCTCAGTTCCCGCCGGTGCCACCTGAAGCCCAATCACCTCTCGCCCCCCTCCCAATCCCAGCACCTAGCCAACAGCCACCAGCCCCGTAGAAGTGACACCTCAATCAATTCATGCCCCTTCCTATATAACCCAGCACCTTTCCCTAATAAAGCGGAACTCTCCGGTGAATTGCTGCTATGTGTCGCTCCTTTCCTTTCACTACTGCCTTATAAAATTACTCTTTAAAAAATGAATCCCTCCATATAGAAAAAGGACTGGAAGGCCTGAGACCAGAAAAAATTGCAAAAAATTTTAGTGGTTATCTGAAGGGGAAAGGGATTATGGATAACATTTCTTAATACTTATTTGAACATGTATTACTAGAGGAATTAAAAAAAATAAAAAAACAGTAGATACACAAAACTTTTAAACTTTTTTAAACTTATGATTAGTAATGGCTTTAAACACATGACTTTTGGGAAAGCAGACATACAATTTTGACTTTCAAAATCCTTGTAAAAGGAACCACTTTGCTGTTTCTATGATCTGAACATGTCAGCTGCTGCTGCCCTCTTTTGGTTCCTTCAGGCTGAGCAGAGAAAATTTCAAATTAAAGTAGCAATTTGGAAATAGATTATTTAATTATAACTTCCGTGGCAGGTCAACAATCCTTCATAAGTAATGGTGAAAGAGGCTCTCACCATAACATTCTTTGTCTTTAGGTCAAGTCATAGCTTCTGTAGACAAAGTAAACACACTCTTCCAGTCAAAAATGAAGCTGGAAGAGGATCACATTTCTTTGTATAATGGTTTTCAGAGTATTGATAGATACATTAAAGACTCAGGCATTCTATACTTCAGATACATCTTGAGGACTACTTTACTTAGATGTTCTCTCTCTTAAAATTTCTTATTCGATAGAAATTTAATTTATATCTTTTATGCTTACAGAAACTGGCTATAAAAATGTTTTTAAAATTCTAGATTTTTCTGCCTGTTCTTCCTTTCTTTATATCTCTATTCTGAGATACTTTAAAAATAAACAGCAGATAAGTATCCCAAAGCTACCAGATTTGTGTATCTGAAAGGAATAAACAGGTTATTTTCTGAGGGAATCTGTGCCAAAAAAATGGAGAATGGGATTTTGCTACCCATCAGAAGGTAATTTTGTAAGTTGAAAAAATAATAAGTAGATATACAAAACTTCTAAACTGCTTTAGAATTTTTCAAGATTAGTAATGGCTTAAAATGCACGGCTTTAACTGCACAGCCAAAAATCAGTCAAAAACTGAATTTTGAAAGTCCTTGTCAACTGAACAATTTTGCTTTTTTCTATGACCTGAATATGTGAGTTTCTGCTCACAGGGGAGTGAGGGTGGAAATAGTGATGTAGTCAGATTGATGATGCCTGGGATTTGGCTGAGAGCACCGATACATGCTGTGCAGTCCACCCCCTGCCACACTTCTGGTCCCAATCTGGCAAAGACCGTAGGCACCTTAGTATGTTCTAGTAGATGTGGGAGGTGGTAAGACTGCTAACTCTGACCATTTTTTTTTCTCTGAGGAAACGCAGTAGCCCCAGCAAGATTAGTGACAACTAACACTTGATCATCATTTACTGTTTGGAATGTGCTTTGAAAGATGCTATCTAACTTGGCTTTCACACTAACCTTATGAAGTAGATATTAGCCCCATTTTATAGATGAAGAAACAGCTTTAAGAAGGGTTAAGTGATTTGTCCTAAGTCATACAGTAAGTAAAGCTGGGGCTTGAGCCTAGGTTTTTCAGATTCCAAATCAAGTACACTGATGGGGGACTGGTCAGGAGATGAAAAAAGATTTTAGTCATTTTTCCAGAAAAAGCAAAATAAATTATTTTGGTTATTCTTACCTGGTAGTGCAAAGATTATTTTTCTTACACCATCAATATCCAAAGTTGCAAATGTTGTTGGCAGGCTAGAGAAAAAAAGAGCTTATTAGTGATTGCTAAGTAATAGGACAAAAAAATTAAGTACTCCAGTTTTCTTGTTATGTGGATCTCTATATACAACACTTCTATAAAAATGTTTTTCTATTGACTGTTATTTAAGCCTTAGTACCCTGAAGTATTTCAAGAGCATTTAATTTGTTTTTAGTATTTTTCTGTTTTCAATTAGCCAAACTTCCAGGTTTTTTGTAGCTTTCTCTTTTTTCCTTCCTGGTAGTGCTATAGTCATGCATCCCAAATCCTGTTTCTCCAACCTTCTAGTTAAAGTCTGTACTGTTTTTGTGGGAGATTTATAGCAATCACTCTTGTATCAGAAGACTACCTCATAATACATGTTTACCAGATAACTGCCTGTTCTTCAAGGTATTTCTCAATTATTTAAAATTATATTCAACAATAAACATAAAAAGTTGTCTGCTATGATGGTAGCTTTCTGAAATGTCAGAATAAATTAAAAAACCATTGCTAGAACAAAATTAAAGCAATAGTAATTAAAAATTATTCTCAAATCATACTTCCTCAGGATTCTGACATGAATCATTACCATAGGGGGTGTGGAGAGGATGAGTATGAATGGCATTGGGGCAGTGGGCAGTGAGAATAGTGATTTTTTTTTCTACTGACTACCCTTTAATACAGAATTTTGGCTAAAATTTCATTAAATTAATGAAACTTGAGTAATGTAGACTCCATAGGGCATTCTGAAATGTCTATATAGGCAAAAAGTTATCCTTTAAAGTATCCAAATTGTTTTTATTTTTACTACTTTTATAGGTCGGTCTTTTAAAAGTGAATCATCCATTAGCTTTTGCAATAATATGATGAACGTTAACATTTTTTGATGATTTAGAATCATCATTATTAACTTATTCTACTCTGCTAGAGTGATATTGGGTCATAAAGCTGTTATGTGCTGTTTTCATCTATACACTATAACCACACACCACACACTGCAGTGTTTTTATAGTTCTTGTTTCTTTTTTTTTCTCCTCCTAGTTTTTTTCTGTGGTTCCCCTTAATGCTAGATTCCATCATCTTGACCCTTAAAGCTGGCTTTAGGTTTGGGAACCAGAGACTAGTAGTAAGAGTTATATTGTTAGAATAATAATAATAGCAAGAGTAGAAGTTACTATTTTTAAAGAAACATCTGTGTATTACACCTAGTATTTTGCTTAATTCTCACGACAATCCCTCAAGGTGAGAATTATCATCTCATGTTATAGATGAGAAAACTGAGACTCAGATTAAGCAATTTGCCAAAATTACTCAGCTACTAAATAGAAAAACAAAGATTTGAACCAAAATTTTTCTAACTTTATGGCTCATAACTTGTTAAGGCTCTCATTGGGTATGCTGTGAAGGGGTAGTATGTCGACTTTGTAGTATCTATTTTTGGCTACTCTGAGACCCTGTTTGCTTACTTCCTGATTGTTTGCTGTATTTTAGAAAAATGAGATTAGACTGTCATATTGATTTACGAAAAGGTTATTCGGCAATGATTGTTACTCTGTGATGAAAAGAATTTCCAAGATACATTATTGACAATAGCTATGTTCACTGTAGATGGCCTATAAAAACTGTGATTGGTAGATCTTGTTAATAATACTTCAAATGCTTTTTTGAGTATCTGTGTATCTAAAGTGAAAGGTTAATTGCATTCTGAATGCACTGTATGTGGGAAGAGAAAAGCTAAATTGTTCTTGAGCTTTTTGTATCTCTTCCTGTTCTTTTATTACAGAGCAATGACCTTTAAGTTCTTCTTATTTTAGACAAGTATATAATTCTGGCCAAGTAAAGGAAGCCCATTTAAACTTCTAAACCACTTGCTTATAGCAAACTAACACACACAGTAAGGGTGAGGAGGGAATGCATAACAATACTGTCCTTTTACTGTATTTAAAGTCAATTTAAATCATCTTTTGTATTTTGAAGATGGTACTTGTAATATCTCTACAGGTACTTTAAAAAAGACTCCATTACAACAAAAAACATTTTGTTATTGTATTGCTATCATGAGTATTCTATTTCCAGACTGTTGAGTTTTTATTTAAGCTCTGGAAAGCCATTTCCTTGAATTCAACACCCATTCAATTCTCTTGAGATCAAATTGTAACAGCATTTATACAATGAGTGAGGTCACACACTGTTATGACTTCAAGGGGAGAATAAATATGAGCATCTCAAGTTGAAGTAAGTAGTAAGTAATACTGAAAATAAAAAGAGTACCAAACTATACAGCATAGGTGCTGAGATTAATTTAAATAACAGATATTACAAATAACCCTTCAGAGGTGAGGATGAGTAATGTCAATGTCTTTCTCAGTGCAAAAAACAATAATTCAATTTTTGAGGTTAATGAAAAGCACACTGACATGCTTTTGAGATGTTCTCTGTATTCTAATCAAATTAGTACTGCCTGTAGGGGCAGAAAAAAAGCCTGGTGCCCATAGCATGATAATATTTATTCAAAACAAAATATTCTTAATAAACATGATCCAAACCCAATAGTCTCAATAATAAAAGGGCCTTGTCAGTGGCCGCCATATTGGGGGCAACTATGGAAATATAATGCCAAGAAGTGTAAATTCTAACTGTGGAGAGGTCTTTAGGGATAATCTTTTCATACTTGAAGGTAAAATCATGGAGGTAAAGACTAATCTCTCTCTTAGAACTGACACAAGGTACCCAATAAATCAAGAAACTTAGGAGGGCTGGCTTAATACTTACAAAAGCCTCCTGGAATTTGCTGATAGTTCCCATAGCTCACTTGTACAATTGGCAAGTCTCGCCTCTCTTAGGGTTCACATGAGCACCTATGAGAGTGCAATCCTGACAGCACGGAGGTGTGCTGGAAGACTTGCCCACACAGTGAACAGGGAATCAAAGGCTCATAGGGTAGCAGGAGTCTGAACAGGCAGACTACTGCTTAAAGACTTGGCTATACACATTTCATCAAAATCAGTGTTTGTCATTCTTTGAGGATTTACAACTGATTACAGAACTTCCATCAACCTTCTTCACGGAGTTAATAGTTTTTAGATGTGCAAGATCTTGGTATGTGGTTATTTTTTTTAACTCTTGGAATATAGTAATAGGCAGGATGAAACACTACTTATGAAGTATTCTTGCAAAGGAAAAAAAAATAAATCTGAATATAATCAAGTCTTTAGATCTAAGGTCCAGGCTACAGAATATACTGGAGAGGGAGGAACAAGTTAAACACCATCACAGGGAAGCAATCAGTCAAATCCATTTGTTAGGACAAATGATTCAGTTTCTTCAGCAAGTCAATGACATGACAAAAAAATGGAGGGGGAGTAAATGTTCTTGTTTAATAGAGATTTAACAACCAAAGGCAGTGAGTGGACCTGACTTGAATCCTAATTCAAACAAAATATATGTAAGAAGGTATTTTTTTCTTGATATTTGGGAGAATTTTGAATGTGATCAGGATTAGATGATGTATTTTTATTTATTTTTTTTGGTGAGAAATATCATTGTGATTATGCAAGAGAATGCTGCTGTTGTTAATATTTGAGAGGTACACCCAAATGACATGTTTAGGATTTGCTTTAAAACAATCTAGCCACCTGTCCCCTCAAAAAAGGTGGAGGAGGGGACTGATGAAACAATTATGGAAAATTGTTGATAGTTATTGAAGCATGGGGCATTCATTGTACTCCCTACTTGTGTATATGTTTGAGAATTTTCACACTAAAATGCTTTTAAAACGAGAGAAAGAGCAGTATGGAGAAAAAGAGCAGAAGAGAAAGAAGGAACTAGATGTGGGAATTAAAAGGACAACAGCTTGGAAAGTTGCTTTGCTTTGTTTATACAAACCCAGTGATTTGTAAGGAAGATGAATTCTCATTTCAGATAGGAGCTACCCCTGTTCAAAGAATTCTAACACCATATTTCTTTTACTAGAATAAATAATCCATAACAGAAAATGTAAAAAGAAGGCATATAAAATTTTGTTAGTCAAAGCAAGCCAAACCAACCCCATATGAAATAAGATTATTTTCATACCCTGGTTTCATAAAAACCCTGCCAAAATGGATCTGAGCATGAAGATCAATGTCCAGCACCTGCTTGAGATAGTCCTGCAAATATGAAAAATAATCACTTTACTTTCAAACATCCTAATATCAGATTTTCAAAATTTAAAATGAATTTATAAGATTGAAAGGAAAATAATCACCTTATTTTAGTGAAGTTGATTTAAGAAAAATATTACTTCATCCCTTCATTCCTCAGTCATTCATTTATTCATTCAATAAATATTTATTGAGCACCTGGTATATGCTGAGTACCAATCTAGGGGTGGGGGTATATAGCCTTGAACAAAAGAGATAATGTCCCTGCCTTCATAAAAAGTGCATTCTAGTTGGAGTAGTTAGATAATAAATCAAATAACCACATTAATATGTAAATCATTCCTTTATAGGTCATCATCCCTCTTTTAACTTTCTGGTTTCCAGGAATAAGTCTCATCTTTTAAACATCATATCTATGATTCTTGTATTTTCTAGTCTCCTTTTACCAATCATTGCTCTCATCTGGCAATCCTCTGCTTACCCAATCCCATTCCTCTGTCTCAATCTCTCTCTGTCTCTCTCTCCATTCTAGCAAGATACATTGCTTTCAGTTTCTAAAGCTTTCCTGCCTCCAGTCTTCAAAAATGTTCTTCCTTCTGCCTGAATACTCTATCCTCCTTGCTCCACCTCACCCTTATATCAGTCTCAGTCATCTTCTCAGCCTCCTCTGAATTCCCTAGGCTGGAAGACAGATCGATTAGTTATTTGTGTAATCTACTACATTGTTAGAAGCAATACATTTAGAATCATTATTTCCTGATGAAGTGATCCATTTAAATATATGATATGTTCCTCCTAATATCTAGTAATCCTGTTTACCTTAATTTTCTCTGACAACAACAGTCACTCCAGCTATCTTTCACTGTAACTCAAAAAAAAATCTATTACTTTTCAATTTGTTTTGTCCTCATACAAGGTGAGTCTCTTAAAAGCATCATACAATTCATTTTTTAAAAAAATCCAGAATGACAATTTTTAATTGGAGGGTTTGGTCCATTTACATTTGATATAATTACTGCTATATTTCAGTTAAAAACTATCACCCTACTACTTGCTATCTGTCACTTTTGTTTTTATTTCCTTTTTTCTTCTTTTGTGCCTTTTTTGGCTTCACCAAATTTTTTTGGCCATTTTAATTTCTATTCCATTAGCTTGTCAGTTACAGTCTTTTATTATTATTTTAGTGGTTATTTTAGAGATTACAACATGCATTCTTTATTACCATCTACTATAATTTGGTATTCTTAGGACTTCCCAGGTAGTGCAAGAATCTTAAAACATGTTAACTGCATTTATTTCTCTTTGATTTTTGTGCTAGCATATGCCATATGTTCCATATATATTTTAAGTATTGTATAGATATGTATATATATTTTAAAACTGTTACTTATATTTTGCTATATATACTAGACAGTATATTCTCTATTTTTATAATTTAACATATATTTATACATATATTTAAATCTTATAAGATATATTATTTTACACAATCAACACTCTTTTACATTTGCCCACATATTGACCCTTTGTTTTGCTCTTTATAGGCCCTTCTGCATTTTCTTCCTTCCATAATCTTTCTGAAATTTTTGCTAGATGTAGAGTTCAACAGTAGCAGTTATTTTCTTTCAGTACTTAACACATGCCATTCCATTGTTTTCTGAATTCCATCATTTTGGTTAGTTTTATTATTGGAACTTTGAAGGTAATGTGTCCTTCTGGTAAGACTTTCTCTTCATCCTTGGTTTTCAGTAGTTTTGCTATGATTACCTAGACATAGTTTCTTTGTATATGTCCTGCTTGAGATTAGCAGAACTCATTGAATTTCTGGATTGATGTTTTGTATCAATTTTGGAAAACACTCTGCCAGTATCTTTTAAATATTGCTTCTGCTCACTCTCTTTTCTTTTTGGGACTCCAATTACACATATGTTAGACCTTTCACTATATCACATATGTCTTTTATGTTCTTTTCCATATTTTCCATCTCTTTTCTAAAATTTTCATTTGCTTCTTATGAGTATTTCTAGTTGTCTAGTGAAATTCTTCATTTTGTCATTTTTTTCTTAAACATATTAATTACAGTTCTAAAAATTCCACATGAGACAATATAAATATCAGGATCATTTTAGAGCTGTTCTATCTTGTTTTCTTTTCTTAACTTTTGGTCATTTCATCCTATCTCCAGCATGTCTAGTAATTTATAAAACTAGAAGCCTAAGCACTATGTATGAAAAAATGGAAGAGGTTCTGGGTGATGATGTATTCCCCCAGGAAGGATTTAATTTCTTCTAGCATTTAGTCAAGGCAAACTAAGATTACATGGATTTAATCAGAGATTGAGATCATTTGGGGCTTGATTTCAGTCTTTGTGGAGGCTGGTTTATTTCCAGTTTGTTCTTATTCTTAGAGTACAGCCCTTCAAGGGTTTAAACTGAAATATTTAAATATTAAGCTGAAATATGAAACTGAGATATTTGCCATAGCCATCCCTCTATGGAAGGCCCTGAACTCCTAATACTGCTGAAAATTCTGCATATTTTCTTAGTTTCTTAGCTATTCTGTTATCCTTAGCTTCTTGGCCTTTTGTATCATTATGTGATAGTGACTTAACAGTGAACAAGACGACATGGTCCTTAACACAAAGACATCCTGTTATATTCTACTGGCGGAGACAGTCTTTAATAAATAAACCAATAAATAAAATAATTATAAAGTGTGGTACATGCTATGAAGCAAATAAGTAGGTGCTGGATAGAGAATAATGGAGTGAGGTAGAGAATAAGGAAAGGTGATTTTGAAAGACACAGTGAGGATGAGAAGGATTCAGTCATTTAAAGTGTGGAGGGATAAGAATTCCAGGCAAAGGGAAATACATACAAAGTTTCTAAAGCAGTAAAGAAAGATGCATCTGGAACTCAAAAAGACAACAGAAGGTAGTGAATGTGTGGGAAAAGGCATAAGGTAAGGTTGGAGAGACAGGCGGTTATATCTACAGAAACTTACAGATTATGATACAGTTTGGAGAGCAGATATGCTCATTACATATTTGTTAAATGAATAAAGGTTTTGTTTTTCTTGAAAAAAATCTTTGTTGTTAAAATGTCCTTTTTCATTCTGACAGAGAGAAAGTTTGTACATAGCAATAAAGGCTGAGAGTAATTGCTGTTTTTAAGTTTTTGTCTACCTATAGAAGCAGCAAGGATCTTTGACTGATATTCTGAAAGCTAGAGTAAGATAGGAAGAAGAAGAAGAATTGGATGAAGGAGCAAGAGTTTTTCCTCAACTCAACTCAGGTAAGAATAAGGAAAATCAGAAAAATTGTGAAAGACTTTGAAATGGGCAAAAAAGATTATTGGATGTCCAGTGTAGCACAACCATCTGTGTTATTTGTGCCTTTCATGTCTTTGAGTTATCTTTCACAAATTAAGCTGTGGAAAACTCATAGTGAACATGATTATTATCCAAAGAAATGCAAATTAATTATGCCCATTGAGATGTTACTGATTGCCTGTGGACAAAGAACAGTTTTACATCTATTAGTAAATTTATCTCAGCATTCCTGATTACCTGTATGTGTGTATTCTTTGAGTTCTCTTTTGAGCCAACTGGTATGTCTTACTGGTTCCCTTATTAATTAATGAGTTAAACAAAATCTTTCACATGTGTTGATTTTATATATTTATGAGATTCATTATTTTATTTTTAAAAAATTACACTTTAATAATTCTGAAAGTTCCACTAAGATGCCCCATCGATTTACCTGAGGGAGCCAGGCAAATTTGGTTGCCAGAGAAGTGTAGTTTATGGGTACCTTAAACCTGGGCACATTTTTCCTTGGATCCTGGACTGAATGCCAAGCAGCAATAAAACATGAACCCTGCTAACTTTTGGTTTCTCTAGTTTTGTCTGTAGTATTGATTTTGGCTTTATTTTTATTTCTGTGCACGGTCATTAGATACTCCCCCTTGTGGTAAGCCATGACTGGGAATTTGGTTTTATGTCTGACCATATAGATGGATGATAAAAATCCGTTCTCTGTTAGAAAAGAGAACAAAGACAATCTGATTTGTCTGTCTTTCTTGTTTATTTGTCTTACTATAATTTTGAGTCTTAATCAATTGAGAATTTTGTGACCTCTAGGTAGGAAAATAGCTATTTGTAGACTGATTCGTTTTTTTCTGTGTTTACTCCTGACCTGTGGGTGAGGCTGTAGAGCTGAAGTATGTTCTTTATGCTTCTGTGTGTCTATGTGTCTGTGATCTTGAAAGGCATTTATCTTGTTTTGTAAGTGCAAAATATTTTCCTATTTCTGGATGGTACTCATAAACTATGTGACTGTGAGACTGCCAGGCAGAGTGGCCTTCCTTGGAGTGCGCTACCGATTCAGGATGCCCACCCCACCACTGCCCCTCTTCATCTGAGTCTGAATGTGATGGAGGTGTTCTGGGGTGGGCAACACAAGAGTCCCTTAACCCCAAACCTCTGGTGAGAACCCTGACCTCACGGCCACAGTAAAGTTTGCTTTGCCAGGACTGCGGGTGGGGAACCAGAGTAAAACAAATATATTGTTCTGGGGCTCTGTTCTGATTGACAGAGAGGGATACATAAGTATTTATATAGAATATTCCTGAAATTACCAGCTAATAAGGAAATTGAACTTATAGTATTTTAAATGTGTTAACTAAAAATATTCTTATAGTTTTAAGAATCAAATTTCACATAATTAAGGTAAATCTTTGGCAAATAAGGCTAGCTAAATTAGTTTGGTAATTAAGAAAACCCAGCCATGTTCTTTCTTGTATTTATCAGTGTTAAGTATGACTAGGCAAATACATTTTATTTCACTTAAGTTTGGTTTTCCTAATCTTTTATGGGTTTATTCATCAAATAAAGTAAAACTATTCTTATGTAATATTTAAGACTGTGAGAAATGTAAAATTTGGTTTAGCAAAATTGAATCATTATTCTGACAGTTTTAATTGTAATATTAATTATGTGTGAGGTATGTCAAAAGTAACAAAATCTTGAACTGATATTAAATTGGTTAATTAATGAATAATCATCAGATATCTAGATGATTTCTAAGTACGAATACTGGATCACTGATTTGTTAAGCATGAACTTAATATACAGATCTTCCTTAATTTACAAGGACGTTACATCCTGATCAACTCATCATAAGTTGAAAATGTAAGAGGAAAATGCATTCAAACACCTAACTGACCTACCATTATAGCTTAGCCTAGCCTACATTAGATGGTTCACTTACCTTAGCCTACATTTGGGCCAAATCATCTTACTAAAAGCCTATTAAAGTATTGAATGTATCATGTGATTTACTGAATACTGCACTGAAAGTGACAAACTTTATTATATTTATTTGTTTTGATCATTGTTGATTAATTTTAATATTTTATTGCTATATGGTTATGGATTTGAAAAACAGACTCAATGAGGCCTATATAGTTAAACAATACTCCTACTGTTAAATGATAAAGGCAAGCCTATGACACTAGCTTTTTTGGTGGTCAAAAAAATCTTTTGTGATTATTTTGATCATATGGAGTTGGGGAGACACTGCCAGGAAAAATTAAAAGACTTTGAAATTGGCAAAAAATTACACTCTAGTGTATCTTTGGTTTTTGACACTTTTCGTTGTCTTTGAACTATTTTACACCTTTGTAGGTTATGGAAAATTTATAGTAATGAATATAATTCTTTAGTTTTCATAGCAAAAAAGGAGATATTGTTTACCTGAAACTTTCAGTGTTTTATAAAAATGAAAAGTCTTTGAAAAGGTTATGTGGAGCAGGGGGAGGTTGGGGGAGATTCTGAGGGAAGCAACATTGCAAGAGTCATTTCTCTTTGGCTACAAGGAGGATAGAGGTCTGTGGGTCCTGCAAGCAGTAGCAAGGGCCTTCCTCCTACCTTGAGGCTCCTAGCCTCCCTATGATCCCAGTGCTGCTAGCATAGCCCAAAGGAAAATAGACCTGAGATCTAATGGTACTACAAGAACACTCTAGATGTGTCCAGTGCAGACTGGTGACCTGATGTGTCTCCTTGATGCTCTGTTGCCTAAGCCCCTATCAGTTCCTTGGCATAATTCTTGGAAGGGTGAGCCCCATAATGGCTTAAATAAAATTTTCTGTCAGTTCTATATCATAGGTGCCCATAGTAGGATTTAAGATGAATCAAGCAAATAAATTTTTTGCATACCTGAGTTTCTGTACCTAAGTTTTATGCCCACCACATAATGCTTCTGGATCTTTCACTGACCTCCCTGTTTCTTTACAGTGACTGGTTTTTAGGCTCAGCTCTTGGGCAAAAGCAGATGTTCTGTGTCTTATGCTTTTTTTTTCTTTCTGCTACTGAAATACACTGGAATTTTTTGCAGACTAGAATTAATAGGTTGGCAGGAGTTTGCTGCATTTATGCTTTATTTCTTTCTTGTGGTTTCTCCTTCATCTCATTCCCAGAGAGGTAGGAAGGATGATTATTAGTTCCTACAGAATACTTTGGGCTGGCTAGTTCCTAAAATCTCCTTCCTAGTAAGTTAAAAGTTTAGTTTAAGTATTTTACCAGACAGTAAAATTAATAAATCCAGTATGTTTTACTATACTGGCCCTTTCCTTGTGAGCAAGGCCCTAGGATAAAGGATGTACTGCCCCACAATTAAGTTCACTAGCAACCAAGATAAATTACATAGGAACTACTCCCTAAAAATAATACATTTGATATTTAAACACTCTTTAACTTCAGGGTTTGCTCTTGGAATACTCCGAACACCACAGGCAGTTTGATGGTGATAAAAATAGACATGTTACAGATTATTTCTTATAGCTCTTCTACAATGCAGAACTCAGCCCTAGCCTTTGGGATCTCAGGGGAGGTCTGAAGCAATTTGCTCCACCTGGCCTAAAGACTTCTGGGAGACTCTGAGGGAAGGCTAACCCTGTAATAATGAGAATACCACCCATACTCCAACACTGTTATTCTTGGATGTAATTTGAGATGGTAGTCTTAGACTGAGAATCTCTCTTTCTCTTCTGTTATTTTTGGCAGCTGAAGTACGATTCTTAAACACTCAAACTAAAGTAGTGAACAGAAGAGAGGCATTCTCTGTTCAGGCCACTGAATTCTGACATCTGTTCTCAGAGCTAATAGAGCTCACTGTCCAAAGTCTAACTTATATTAGGCTGTTTTATAGCAAAGAACAATCATATACATAAGATCCATTTAAAAGAAATCAAGCTCTTAGAAAAATATGAATTCTAGTAAAAACTGCTATTATAATATTTTTATTTTTCAGTTCAGTCATTAATATGATATAAAAGAAAACTTGGAAAGGGATTATAGGCTGGATGAACATTTTGTGATCTCAAATATTATGAGTCAAAACATAAGGTGGTTATTGTGGTAAAGAATATTTTGCTTTTATATCATTCAATGAACCAACAACACATTTCATTAAGATATATAATTTTTATAGGACTAAACATATGCCATATGCAAATATGCTTAGTCTTATAAAATCATATAGCTACATATATATTTGTATGTTTGTAATTTACTTTTATCATGATTATGATTATGATTATTTGTCAAGAGGGGTAAAGGAATGCCTAATCCTCTCTTTCTTCCCTGTGGGAGCCAAGGGTTCTTTACCAACTTTGAAATACGTGGTGTGGGAAGTTATCTTAAATTTAAATTTAAGTAGAAGGAAGGATCTTGGAACTTTACCTTGGGGATAAATATCATATATAAAGGAAGTCCTAATGTAGTAAAGAAATCTCAAGGGGAACATCAAAACCATTCTGCAAGCTGTGGGATTCTGCATGCTGTTCTTGAGGCAAGTTTTGATCTACCTACACTGCATCTCTTTTAGAATGCACAGAAATTTATGAAGCCCCAGCGATTTTCAGCTTTGTGGGGCTATAGTTATGGATACCAGATGTTTACCAGATCACAGTTAATCAACCATATGCAAGGATATTACAGTGGATAATTTTCATGAGCCCCATTTTTTCATACCTTTTCCCCCATGGATACACCCCCTGATGTGATGATGACATCAGCACGACTGATACCCTCATTCAAGGCATTGAGTAAATCATCTGGGCTGGAAAAAAAGTGAAGAAAAATAAATTAACACACAAGGAGAAGATTTTAGATATACAGTGCCAACTTAAAACTCAATCACCTTATTCACTGAGTAGGCATTAATATGAGTTCAGCACTATATTCTGTATGAAATGGGACGCAGAAGGGTCTCTGCCCAACAGGAATATAACTCTTATTGTGGAGAAGAAACCTTATAGGTGCCGAAGTAGTGACTATTGGATACTTTCACAGGGCTCTTTGTTCTATCTAAGAAGACAGCATAAGGAGAGACAGTGAGGTGTTGGTAGGCTATCTAACTGTTCCAGTTTGCCTAGGAATATCCCAAGTTGGTACTAAAGTCCCACCTCTTAGGAAATCCCAGGCAAACCAGGACAGCTGGTCACCTTAGGTGTTGGAGAGATTACACAGGACTCTAGAGGAAATATGACTTAAGTTAGGTAGGCCTTGGAAAATGCACTGGATTTTTACAGGTGGAAAGCAGTGGGAAAGGGCCTTGTAAGAAAGAGATCAGCATGTGTTGTTTCTGTATCAATGGAATGGGGAAAATGAACTGTTCAGAGTAAAGAACTTGGAATGACTGAATAGGACATGATTTTGGAGGGCCCATAAGCTCAAGCATTTAGACTTCATCTAATTGGAAAAGGGTGGGAGTATGCTCTAGAAATATGAAGAGCCCAAAGGTGTTTATTGGGAAAAGAAAGGGTAGAGAAAAAAAGAAGGCAGAGACTGTATGAAATAGTGTGAGAGGATAAAGGCACAAGATGAATATTAGGGATTGAAACTAGGCAGATTCTTGAGAGTCAACTGAAAAGACAAGTAAAGCAGTCCCTTAGATTGCACAGGTCAAAGGCCTGGGAAGAAGAGATGTTAGAAGGGTTGTGAAGGCCTAATTTGAGATTGATCAGGTGAGAAAAAGCCAAAACGCAGGTTTTTGTTAATTTGAAATCAAACCATGTCTTAATGAGATAGCATATGTTCTCCCAAATCTGTCATGAGAGTGAAATTTGCTCATGTCCTTTTGTCTTAATGACCTATTTGATGGGAGGAGGAGGAGGATGAGGGGCGGGGTAAAGGAAGGAGGAGGAGATGAAGATTTGAAACTAGGACATTATTTCACTTTTTCCCAGGGGTGATGGTGATAAGGAGAGGAACTTGAGATCTACCTGAGAGCTTAAATCACAATCTCTATAAGAGATAAGCTAGCTGGGAGGTGGCAGAGCACAAGGAATAAGAGTGTGAACTCTGGAGTTAGACTACCTAGGTTTAAATTCTGGTGCTACTACTTGTGAGATGTAGAACCTTGGTCAAGTTGCTTAACTTCTCTTTGCCTCAGTTTTCCATCTATAAAGTAGGGAAAATATAGGGTTGCTATGAGGATTAAGTGACAGAATACATATAAACAGTTTATGGAATAGTGCCTGGTACAAACTCAGTTTTCAAGAAAGCTTAGTTGTTATTGCTGTAGTACTGAAGTTTATCACACAAGCATATGTAACAGCCTAGCAGAGTTCAACCTTAGCTTGCTCCACAGTTTTTCTTCAGGAGAATATGAATGACTAACACTGAAGAAAATCATAGACTGGGCCTCACATACATTTACAGATCTATATGTGAAAAGCCCAAATGGCTCAATAGCAAGCTAGGCCTGATTCCAGCCTGAAGAGTTTCATTTACCATTAGGTTCTCTTACTGTATCTGGATAAAATTCTCTTTCCCAAGCACTGGCCTGTCCATGAGTGTACTGGGGGTTGCTTGGCTCTGGGGAATGAGCTCCCGAGAAGAGACAAAAGTAAAATTTTGAAAAATGGCTTACAGGAGGTTCAATCTACCAACATAGGGATCCTTCAAAGTCATCCAGTTAATTGCTTATGTAGCCAAAAAGGTACTCAGGTATTCATGAAAGGGAAAAAACTAAAAAAAAAAAAAAATCCCTGACATGGATTTTGAAGTTAAACTGGTTGTGCAAGCATCTTAAATGAATTATGCAAATAATGGGTGTATTTAAAATATTTTTAAACTAAGCATCTGAATATATTTTTCATCATTCTTTTTCATTTTGCTTTAGAGAAAAAGATAGCTAATTATTCTCTTAGGTTAAAATACTGTAAGACATGCATGTGATGGGTTCCAGATTACTGCATGCCCAGAACTCCAGGCCCCTTGCCTTACTGGATCATATTACCACGAAGTTGCACCATATGGCTGGCCCATGGAGTAAATGGGGAGAACATCACAAACCCAGGATGATGTGGAATATGGTTCAGGTGAATGGACAATGAATATTATCAAAAAATACAATTTGTGTCAGTATAAAGAAACATTACCTAATTTTACCAATCTTACAATATGTAATTTATAATGTGTCAAAACTACAGGATTATGATTAAGTCACTGAAAACAAAGCCACAGTGACATTGTACATCATGATGGTATTAATCTTCATAGGATTAATGTATCCTGGGACAGGCTGGCTGATGACTGAAAATAAACATACTTTTTATTTTTTCTAACTCATTTTCATACTATCTGGGAGAGAGATGTTTTCTGTTTTGTAAAACTGCAGAGTGGTCAACTGTCTACATGAAATTAGAAAATTTGCAGAAATAAACTAAAAGAGATTTTATGCCAAGTCCTTATTACAATTTATCATGGCTCAAAGAATACTCATGCTCCTTTCTATTCTGTGGCTGGTGGATTCACAAAGTCACTGAATCTCAAAGTTAGAAAGGTCTTTGAGGGTCACTGTGCTCAGTATCACAGCTGGGCACATCCCATCCTTGGGCCCTGCCCTTCTGTATCTGCCTCTGCCCCTCTTTTACTCTTCTTTCTGTTTTCACTATTTTGCATACTTCTGCTATAAGCCAGGGATTTAGTAAGAGATCATGGCTTAGTAGAGGGACAGGTCCCAATGTACAAGAGTCAGAGGATCTATAACTTCATTTATGTTGCATGTTGTAACTCCATTTATTAATTCACAATAAATCTGTGACATAGATTAACAGGTATTATGACCATTTAACAGAAAATGAAAGTAGAGATGCAAGACAGCATATTAAAGGCTAGGTAGAGGGGTGAGTGGCAGAGTGAGGACAAGAACCTCCTCATCAAGTGTTTGTTCTACCCTGTCCCCTAATCAGAGTGATTGTCTAGTTTTTTCAGGCATATAACATGTTATACAAGGAAAATTCTCCTAAGTATAGGCCCTTGTACAAAAGCATCAAGTAGAGCAAGTGAGGATCTGTCTCGGGTGATCAGAAAAGTACATGTGTGGATATATTAGTATAATTCTGGGGAATAAAACAAAAATGACCTGGAATCCTATATTCAGATGGAAACTAAATGGAATTTTGATTAAATATAATGTTAGGGCTTATTTACAAGTCATAAATTTGTTCTTTTTTATGATTCATATTATATTTTAAGTGATGAAATATTTCCAACATAGGATAATAGTATAACAAACATCTACATATCCACTTCTAAGAGTTGATAAATGCTAATATTTTTCCACATTTATTTCATATTCCCTCTCCCCCCAACATTTTTTTCCTCAAATCAGTAGTCTTTTATTGCATTTTTAAAATGCCACAGATAAGTTTAAGGAGTCATCTAGGATCTGCTGTTTCTGTACCTGTACAACTTAGATCTTATTCATCAGCCTGCTGAACTGTCCCTTTTTCAGAAACACAGATATAATCTGAAAACTTTCTGATATCCTTATTTTTAACTGTTGTGGCTTGCTGAATCAAAGCAGCTGAATTTGATACGAGTTCAATGTTATTTCTTTCGAGAATCAATTCATCTTTCTGGGCTTGAGATACTGAGCAAGCAATGTTTGACCTCATCCAACCCTGCAGATGTATTTTCACCCAAGAAATTTCGGGTTTCAACAAGAGAACCGTTCTTCGGAATAAGGATGTTGACGGGGAAGTGGTCTCACCTTGTAACAGGAGTCCAGTGTAACACCGTTCATCATGTTTTGTACATGACTACAGATAATGCTAATGGTAGCCAATTCCTTTCTATTTCCCCACCATTTGTCAACCTGGAGCCTCTTTTTTGTCTTTCCAAGGAGACTGAGCTTTACATTGATGTGGCTGAAGTGGCTCTGCAGGGTTTCTCTGGGGCCCTTCACAATAACTGTTAGTCTCTTCAGAGTGAAGTCGACCTTTTCTGGAATGGTGACAGTCTGGTTGCTGAGAATGGTCTTCATTCTAGCAATAGATGTAGCAAAGAGCTCCACCCCAACTTTTTTACTTTTAAGAAATAAAAACTGAGTTTTCTTTCTAAGACTAAGAGATTACTCTGAGTAATGGTAGGAAGAATAAATAACAAGGATTATAATAATGGATTATAGTAGGATAAAGATAATTCATAATTTTCTCAGTTTTATTAAATAGAACATACTATATATTAATTTTCTCAGAGATAGGATAGTAGAACTAAAACATTATAGTCTAATTTTATATGATATGACCTCATATAATATGACTTTGTGTGTCATATATACATATATATGTACTTATGATATATAAGATCAGTTGATATTTAAGGAATAAAATTAATGACAATACTACTCATGTTTTAAAAGAACAATGCATTTTCACACCTATGTGCTAATTTCACTCTTTGAGGTAGGTAGGGCAAGAGAGTGCACTGAAATCACAGAAGTAGTGACAGGTTCAAGATCACCCTATGTCCATTGTAGTATTCTTTAAACTACAGTAATATTCACACTGTGAAAGACACTTTGTTGTATATAGTATACTTTTGATAAAAGCTATTTATCATTTTTATCTAAATATATAAATCTTATTTGTGTATGACAGAGTGACAACAAAAAACAACATGTACTTTTAAATTTGAAATATCTTCTATTGACACTATGGGGAATGCTGAATTAAGCAGACTAAACTTCGTATGTAATACCAGTAGCTTCCCTTTTCTCAAAGAGCAGATGATGTTAAAGGGTATGTGACATCTTTTAATTATTCCTTC